CAACGTCCTCCACAACTAGACTGAAGAACAAAACGACAGCAACTTGTCTGTTCCCCTTCCCCCAATTCCCCAGCACTGTTCCCTTCCCCCCGATACCCCAATAAAAAAAAAATCTTAAAAAAAAAAAAAAAGACAGTACTTGTCACATAAGTACTTACTACATTTTAACTAGTATTCTTACCTAAATACAAGTTTCAACGTCATAATAACACGGAATCTTTTAAAATATGAAAGTGGGATACTTTTTCAAACTAACTTTCATCATGATATTGCAAAACCTTTTTGTAACATAAATTATTGCTGCTTCTACATGTAATAACATATACTTTCTCCATTGATGCTGATATTTGCATGCAGCAAATACTCAGTTTGTAGTAATTGGCTGATTTACCTGAAGTCTTGAACAGAAAGAGAGGAACTATCGTTTTGTGGAGGCTTGTTTGCGAAATGTTGAACGCAAGGTGCCTTTAAGAGAGACAGTTTTACATGGGCCACCTTTATAAGACAGGAGTCCAACTAAAAATACCTGTTAATTATTAAACCCCAATGTATTATCTGGATACCTGACACTGCAGATTGAGAACAGACAGTGTTTGTCTCAAAAGTTAAGCCTAAACGCCGATAGAAAAATGCAGTTTTCAAGGGATTTAAGAAAAAACTATACCTTTTTCTCTGATATTTAGAACAGAGAGTGGGGTACCTCCTGTTTGAGGGGGGCATATCTACAGCCTAAATGGTTTAAACCTCATTTGAGATTCTTGCTTGTTTTAGCATGGCGGAGCTTGGAGTTCACAGGATCCTTCTTTTGGCTATTTCTCTGACAAAATGTCTGGAGGGCACAAAACTGCTGGCAGACTTTAAAAAATGTGGTGACTTGGAATGTGAAAGTAAGTTTGCTTTTCTTTTTCTCCTTTTCCTCTTAAACTGAGGCTCTGAAATGAAATAAAATGCCATTGTGGATATGCATGATAAAAATGAGCATTAATATCATTGAGAAATATTTGTAGTTATATAGTTCAGTAAAAAAAAATGTTGAAGTCATTTTGTGATTTTTTTTAATGTAAATATACAAAGGGGCAAAGATCAGCCTGATATATAATTATGTCAGAAATTATAAATGTATTAATCCAGACCTCAAAAACAAACTAATCAGCACTTTTACTATTTTTTAAGGTAAATATAATAATTTATACTAGAAAAGATATCAAGTCACTTGATAATTCTCAATTTATGAAGCCCTGATATTTAGTTTCTATTTCACAATCAGAACTTTCTGATTCTCATGAGTTTTCTAAAAATGATTTTATTTCAAACCATCAGGATATACTGTCTAAACTTTATCAAACATTAATAATTTCTAAGTTGACTTATTATGTAAAAATACTGAAATCAGTGTTAACAATATATCATTTTATTTATATCCTTGAATGTGAAACTTTATCTTCTAGAAAGGTAAATTCATGTTATTTTATCTATTTATTTTCATGTATATTTTTATTTTATTACAAGATACTTTAAATTTTGGGCAGATACTGTTGTGAGAGAAAACCAGCTTCACATACAAAATTAATTTTATTTTCTTGCTTAAGAACTTAATTTATTTTCTATTAGCATTCTGGTGTAAAATGAATTACATCCCAATATATCGTAACTGCTTTAAATAAGTTTTATCTTACCAGTATGTCAGAATTATTTCTGATTTCCAATATGTAAATTAAAAATGGAAAATATTATTAGTGTAAACAAATAATTTACAAGCAAATATTTTATGAGTAAACATTTTTTTTAACCATTTGGATATTAGATAATGTTTTATAATCATCATCATCATCATCATCTTTCTTTCCTTCTTTACAACCTCATATTAGTTACCTTAGGGTCAGACACAGAACATGGAATGGGAATATTCAAATTTATAGTAATTTATAATGTTATTTTAACTTTGATTGCGTAACTTAATTAACATATTTACATATATTAGCATAGTTATAATAGTTAATTTGGTATGTATATTGTTGTATGCATTAAATCTAGCATATCTGGTTATGATCATTCATAGTTATTGAGGGCCTGTTATGTGCTGGGTCTGGATGGGGGGGTTGAATCTAAGAAAATAAAATGAAATGTTAGGATAAGTTTCTTGACCTCCAGGAATTTTCATTCTACTGAATAAGCGAGATAAGACAGGTCAATATTAAACAGTAAACACTGACACAACATAAAGATAATAGGTAATATTGAAGCTCAGAGAAGGGGCACAGTAAGCTAGCCCGATTAGGGATGTCTCATAGAGGAAGTAGTTATGAGTTCACCATGAAGAGAAACTGAAGAATTTCAAGGCTTAGGAAAGAGCAGAAAGAGAAGCTCAGAATACAGAAGATAGATGTTACAGTGAAAAGAACCTCAGTGCAAATCTTGGCTCCACCATTTGTCAGGTGTGTGACCAACTCCGAGACTGAGTCTCATTTGTTAGCCTGAGATGAGATTATTTACTTCATAGGTCTGTTTTGAGGATTTAATAAAATAAAGATATGAAAGAGCTGGAATACATAGGTACCAGGAAAAAAACTAATTATCTTTTCTTTCCCTTCCCTAATCACTGGAAAATGATAATGACACATTCCAGGGACAGTGGATAGAGGAACTTGACTGTAAAGGAATAAAAGGATGCCATTTTAAATAGAGCAGGAGGATCAGGTGATGGACAGCCTTGGATACCGAGCTAAAGTGCCTTGAATTGATTCTCTGTGCAGTGAAAAGTCTATGTAGGTTTTTGAGACCATAAATGATATGAAGAAATTAGCATTTGGAAATACATAGGATGCATTGGAAGACAGCAAGATGAGAGGGGGAGAAATAACATTTTAATTTAAATTGTGTGTTTTTCTTGACATGTTTACATAGCTTTACTAAGCAGAGCCTTAGCTGTGAGAGATTATAAAGGACCTGACTGCCGGTACCTGAACTTCACTAAGGGAGAAGAGATATCTGTGTATGCTAAACTTGCAGGAGAAAAGGAAGATTTGTGGGCAGGAAGTGTAAGTATCTAATCTTAAAAACTGAATGCACAATAATTGGCTAGTTTATACAAAGATGCCTGATTTTCATCTCTAAGGGAACTTTAAGAATTCCAAAGCACTTTTTACACATGTTAAAAACCCTTAACATATTTAAACAAACAAAGGTGGTCTTGTTCAGTGTTGGTTCCAGAATTTTTTTTAATTTTTTTTAGAAATTTTATTGGGGAACAGTGTGTTTTTTCCAGGACCTATCAGCTCCAAGTCAAGTAGTTGTCTTCAATCTAGTTGTGGATGGCCCAGCTTCTTGGCCCATGTGGGAATCGAACTGGCAACCTTAGTGTTATGAGCCTGCACTCTAACCAGCTGAGCTAACCAGCCACCCAGTTTCCAGAATTTCTATAAAGTAGCTTTTGGGAAGGTAGTAAGGCAGCCTCGTTGGGATGGAGAACTAAGAGTGCCTTGAGATTATTTTTACATAGCATTTATAGTTCTTGAACATAAATTTTTATATTTACTTGGAGAGACTTTAGACAGAAATTATGGGTTGACTCAGCCTTTCCTTGCATCCCATGGTGCTGCCAATGGCCAAGTTTAAGAGCCACTGGGACGTTTTAGTTAATCAGATTAAAAGACACATCTTTCTGAGCAAATGAAGGATTGAATTGTTCCTGAAGAGGTCCTCAGAAAGATTAGTAGCCCACGAAAGCAAAGTATATACTTTTCTTGGAAAAAAAGAACTGGCCCAAAAGATACTTTGGCCTAAAGTTCTATTACACTGAAATTCATAGAAGCCAGAATCATCTCTCTGAATATATAACATGGGAAAATTAATGATTAATGCTTTCAGTTGCAAATAGGTTTACATGTTTGATTGTATCATTATGCTTTATAATGAAAAGATGTTATGATAAGTAATTTTACTCCCAAGCTGAATAAGCATGACCAACCTCATGCATAACATTATTTCCATATTGCATATGCATCAGATCTCTCTCCCGTATAGCCTCTGTGATCACTGTTTGAAAAAGCAGATTCTGTTTGGATCTATCCTGATTTTTAGCATCAGGATCTGTATGACTGAAACTCTGTCACTGGCCAGAATTGTTTGCCTGGCCTCCAGCTCCCAAGATTCCTTACTGCTCATGGTCCCTTAAACATGCCAATCTATGTCTTGAATGCAGTGGAGGCATTCCATGGAGCTATAAGAAAAATGACACAGTAGGTATAAGAGAAAAAGAAAGCATTCTTTCTTGTTTCCTATGTGTGAAAATGGTAGTTCCATACAAAAGCGGCGTGTAATGTGTGGAGCCAGGGTGAAATTTCAAGCACATTTAATTTTATTCATTAGGTGTTTAGGTCGGGCAGGTGACTGTTTAAGGAACCACACTGTCAATTCACCCACAGACTGTCAATTTCCAAATAGTTGCAGCAACTGCAGAGCTGGAAGAATTACAGTGAAAGTGTAATGCTGCTGGATCGAGGGACCAAAAGGAATATGTTCTTTAAAGTTCTATAGCGATAAGAAATGAGCTGAGAATGGTTGTGTGAAGGCTTCACTCTCAGGGGACATCCCATGTGTACTTAAACCAGATTATGAGGATCTCTGTTACCAAGGTAGCCTCAGAAAAGTTGAATGGAACCAAATCCTACTTGGAGGATTCACAGATCTTTACTATCTTGATGAATCTGTCGGCCCTTCAGAGTTTAAACCTTTTACCTAATTTTGACATCCTGAAAATGCTGAATACGTCACAGCTTTATCTAGCTTGGCTACTTCCACCTTAGGATATCCCAGGTGTACTAGTGTAAATCTGTGGTTGACCTGGGCAGGGAAGGTCATTAAGGAACAGAAAAAAGAAGAAAATGAGTGTGTGGGACGGTTCCCCTCTGAAGTTTGAAAAAGCAGCATTTGACAGCTTGCCTCAAACTAATGCTATTCTTTCGAATAACAAGAGAAATATGATTTCACTCACTTTCTCTTCCTCTTTCACTTTCTCTTTTTTATGGCATATAAAAGCCAATTAATATTTGTGATTTGAAATAGATGAAAGCCAAGGACATGGGGCAAAATTAGTTTCAATAGTTTATTGCTATGATTATTCTTCCTTGCTGATCTTCTGTGTTTCATTTTGATAGAAAGGAAAGGACTTTGGATATTTTCCCAGAGATGCAGTCCAGACTGAAGAGGTGTTTATATCTGAGGAAATTCAAATACCAACGAAAGTGAGTAAACTCATTTTAGTTATTAATTGAATTTAAAATTTCTTGACTAAAACAGTTTTTCTGAAGTATTAGTGCCCACTGGTTCTGTGTTTTGTATAGTGAATACAAACAATTGTTGGTCTGAGAACTCACATTAGGAATAGTTTGAGTATGTGAATAAAATTAGGCAAGATGAAGTCGATGACAAGCAAATATTTTGCTTTCTGAAAAATTAACAGGCAGGCTGTAGAGTGTAGTGGTTAAGAGCATGGATCCTAGACGTGGACTGAGTTCAAAGCCCGACTCAGCCACTTAGTAGCTTTGTGGCCTTGTGTGCCTTCATTTTCTCATGTGTAAAATGAGCATGATGATTCTAATATAGTGCTACCTCATAAACTTATTGAGGAAAATATAAGCGTATGTAATGTACATAGAACATCACTTAGTAACTGCTATGTAAGGGTTAGATATTATTACTAATGTTATTGTGCTACTGGAACAAAATTTATTTCCCATCACATTCTTAAGAAAAATAAAATAAATGGAGCCACTTTAAAATGGAACCATAGCTGCTATCTCAGAGGAATTGCCTTGCATGTCTTATACCTCAAACCTTTGGAATGTTAAAACAGGGAAAATAACCTTTGGACTGGGCCTAAAGCAACAGTTGTGTCCCAAAGAACTGTTTGCAAGGATAACAAAAAAGCAGGTATTGTGACTACAGGACTGAAAATTTAAAATATTGTTTAGAATTAGCATCGCTATGTTAGATGATCTGCACCAATAGAAAAGCCTTTGTTCTATTGATGTAATTGTCCCCCTTCCCTTTCTCATAATAACCCCTGCCTTTGTCTCCTAATTGGAACACTATTTGGGTTTCTGCCTGAATCAGTGATTCCTGAATAGCTATTCATTTTTATCTCAAATAAATTCTGTTGCCTCTCACTTTGAAAGGCCTTTTTTTTTCGGTCAACACACTGTAGGTCTCCTATCTGTACAACCTCTTTTGCTGTTGGAGTTTTAAATAAGCTTGATAATATTGGTCTTGATAATGAGAAAGGGAATCAGAAAGTGACTTGTTTTTTTTGTTTTGTTTTACATTTCAGTATGTTTAATATATATATATATATATATATATATATATATGTGTGTGTATATATTTTAGTGGCTTAAAACACCAACAATCACTTTATTATTTTATAAGGTGACCTTTTAATATGTGAATTTGATTAGCCCATTTAATTCAGATTCCAGATTAAGCCAATTTACCTTAAATGAGACCAGTGTGAAGTGAGTTTGCCTAGTTAGGCAAACTATTATCTGGCTTTTTCCCAGCACTGATTCTGGGATTAACTGTCCATTTACTGTATAATTACTGGTCCTGTTTGTTCTATCTCCAGAATACATTTAACGTTATTGTATTCTCATCATTTTCACTCTCCCCATAGCCCTAATTCATTATCATTATCTCTTAATTAGAATACTACAATAGCTTCTAACTTATCTCTTTCCCTCTCCTTTTGCCCTCTTCCAATTCGTTTTCCAAACAGCAGTGCATCTTATAAAAACAAAACAAAACAAATCAGGTCATGTCGTTCCTTTGGTTTAAAGCCCTTTAATGGCTTTTCACTGAAGCTGGAATCAAGCCCTGTCTCCCTACCCTGGTTCCACGTGATCTCCTGCCCCCTTGCTGACCCTGTCTTATGCTGTTCTCTTAACTAGCCATGCTCCTGGCCACCCTGGCCTGTTGGCTGTTCTTAGAACAGGCTAAGTCCTTCCCCAGCCTAGAGACCCAAATAGGCTGTTCCCTCAGGTTGGAATGGTTTCCCCAAGTTCTTCACTTTGCTAGTTCTTTCTTATCCCTTAGGTCACAGCTTAAACATCAGTGCCTCAGAGAGGCCTTCCATGGTGATTCTTATGGAATCACTGCTTCTTCTTCTTTTTTTTTTTTTTTAATCACAGCTTCCCATTAATTTTTTCCATAGCATTTACAATTTATAATTACTTTTTTATTTATTGGTTACTATAGAATTTTAGCACCTGGCCCAGAGCAGAGCACATTGTAAACATACAGAAGCCCCAAATTCTTAGGTCAAGTTCCTTAGGAAATAGACTCTGAGATGGACCTTTGTATCCAAGAAGTTTACTGGGAGGTCTTCTTGGGAATAACAGCAGCTGTGAGGGAACAAAAGAAAAGGCTGAAAGAGAAGTTGAACTGTGATGCAGTTGCAACAAAGGTCTCCATTGATTTGATGAGCAACTCTGAATCTGGGATGTCCTTTGAGAATTGTCCTAAATACAGACAAAGGGGAGGGCCTTTTCACCCTTGCATTACTGGCTCATCTGGGGTAGCATAACCTTGGGCTAGATTAGGCTAGTGTTTACTAGAGACAGTTACTATTCTTAGCACTTGATTCATTTAATCCTCAGAACACCCCTATAAGGTAGGTGCTACCATTTTTCTCCTTTTACAGATGACAAGACTGAGGCATAGAAAGGTCATAGAATTCACTCAAGGTCACAGAACTAGTAAATGGAATAGTCAGGATTTGATCCCAGAGGTTGACTCCAGAGTCTGTTCTTAATCACTATTTCAGTGCCAAAAACATATTGCCAAGTTGCCAATTCTTAAGTTTATTTTTTAAAATTCTAAACATTATTTTCACTTCATAATGCTGATATCCAAAGAGCAGTGCATTTCAAACAATAATTTAAAATAATAACTTTTGCGTTTACTTCTTGATGATATGGTTGTTCTGTGAGATGGGCGAGGGTTTCCCTATCTCCATTGACTATAGGCAATATCTCAGTAAAAGAAATCTGAATGTCTTAGTGCAACTTTTAACCAGGCCTTCATGCTTTAGTCTCTGGTCTGTCTGAGCTGTGACCATGTGCTGTGAAATTCCCTTCCCTCAAATCACCACACAGCTAGCTGCATGTGTCTGTTCAGTACACTTAGGAGGAGCAAGATTTTATGGATATGTGTGCCTTTTCATCAGAGTTTATTTGCAGAATATACTCAAAGACTTGATTGTCTCTGCTTCTCAAATTCTTCAACTATTTGATAACAAGTAAATCCTAAGGTAAAAGGATTTTCATTTAAGTTTATATCATTAACCTGAGAAGTCAGCTGTGATACAAGTGTCTGAGATTAGGAGATCTAATGTTTGTTTTTGCTCTGCTGTTGAGTTAGTTGTATGGTCTTGGGAAAAATTATAATCATCCATTTAAAATGATTTAGGGAGAAACAAGAAGTTTTAGTACAGTTATGCCAATCATAATTTTTTTTTCATTTTAGGAATCTGATTTTCTTTGTCTTCTGGGAGTAAGCTACACATTTGAAAATGAAGATGGTGAGTTAAGCAGTGATGATTATGGTGAAAATATATATCCATATGAAGAAGATAAAGACCAAAAATATAGTATATATGAAAGTGATTTTCAGACAGAACCTGGAATTTATTCAATGTCTGAAAGTACTTGGTTTGAAGACCAATTTCCAGCATCAGAGGCTCCTGAAGATATTAGAAGAACTAGTGAATCAAGAAACTGGGAAGGAGTAGAAGCTGGAAGTTTGAAACAGGATCCTATTCTAGAAACGGATTATGTCCCACCATCCTCAACTGTGCCTGAAGTGAAAGGATGGTTTGGATTCGGAGGGGAACAAGCTGATGGGAAGGCTTTTGAGCCAGTTATTGACCCTCTGCAAGAAAGCTCATTTCACGGTAGAAAAATAGCAGAAGATGAAAAAGACCTAGAGGAATTAAATAATGGTGAGCCCCAAACAGAACATAAGCAAGAATCTGAATCAAAATTCAATTCAGTGCCAAAGAAACAGTCCGAAGCACCTGAGTCAGAGCGCATTCTCAATCCTCAAGCCACTGGTTGGTTTGGCAGTGGATTTACAAGCTATTTTGGCTTTGGAGGTGAGGATACAGAGCCTGAATTATTGTCCAAAGAAAGCAGTCCACCACTACAGGATGTTCCTAATTCCATATCACCTGAGGAAGAATCCCCAGTTCCATGTACAGAAATATTAACAGAAAAAGAAGACACAATCACTCATGGTAACTCAACTCTCAAACCAAGTTGGTTTGATTTTGGTTTTAGTATGCTAGGCTTTACATATGCCAATGAAAATAAAATTATAACAGGTGATGGAAAAAATGAAGAAGGAGGTGAAGGAAATAAACATGAACACCCTCCAACAAGTGAATTTGACCCTGATGAAGAACAAGAAATAAAAACAATACAAATTATGGAAACTGAAGACCAATTAGGCAAGGAGAGAGTCTTGGAGAAAACAGATGACTCTGATACCTTACCATATTTTAAAAGTTTCTTGTATAATTTTGATAACCCTTGGAACTTGCAGAAGGAAACAGAATTGCCATTTCCCAAAGAGATACTGAATGAAAATGATGTAGTTGAAAATGATGAAACAGAAGAATTTTCAGCTGAAAGTGATCCCACAGCTAATATGAAAGTTATGATGTTGAAAAGCAGATATAGTCAGTCAGGTTGGTATAAAAATATCTATGATATAATTTATCTTTTTAAACATCATTTATAAGTCCAAATACGATAAGTACTTTTATAAGTACAAAAAGTCCAGGAATCCATGTTCTCAAAATAATAATCAGCAAGTTTATTAACCACCCTTTTTATCAGTTTTTGGTATACTCAGGGACTTAGATCTTAATATTATAAAATAAAATCCAAAGGGAAAAATAATTACTTGAAATATATGGGTGTTCCACTAAGATCTTAAGGTAGTTTACAATAGATTTTTTATTTTTTATTAAAGTAGTATATGTAAACAGGTTTAAAAATATGGTGCTAAGGCTTTTTTTTTTTTTTTAACCAAAAGAAATTTTGTTCCCTCTGTCCATCTCTACTCCCACCTCTATCCCAGGGACAATACTTTCTTTTCATGTTTTTAAGCAAATTTCTTTTACTATTTATCTCTATTTTCAAAATAAAACCAATATCATTCAGCTTTGATTGATCTATTTTAGATGATGTCCACTGACTTCCTGTTCTGGTAGTTGAGAATTTTAGCTCATTGACACTCACTTTTTAGCTCATTCACATCTTCCCAATATAACTATACTTGATTGTTTTAAGAAACTTAAACTAAGGGAAACTTCCATAATTCAAAATAGTCTTGATTCCTAAATGAGATTTTATTTTAGGTCTGTACCCCACCCCCACCCCATCCCAACAAAAAGAACGATGATAACAAGGTTTTTTTTTAAAAAAGATATTGATAGTAAGGAAACTCAAGTTTTCAACCTTCTCCTCAAGTTTTTCAATTCTGGCAGCTCAACAGAGGGCAACAGAAGAGAGGAGTATCAAAGGGTGCTTCTAGATCTAGGTGTCCAGTCTCTAGCAACTCCTCTGATTAAAAACATGTGGATTGTATTTTTAAGTAAAGAATTATATAACATGACTTTCCCACATCTCCATTATGATGTCTCTATGATAGACAAATTAGAAACTCAGCAAATATTTGCCAATAACTCAGAAACAAATGAACCCTAGAATGACAGAAACCTTTAAAAGCAGAGGTCAACAATGATGCAAACTCAGAAGGAAACACATGAGAACTAGTTGATTTTGTTGAATTTCCAGAACTGCATGTTGTTTCTTAATAGTCTCCAAAATGTACTTTTTCCCCCTTTAGTTTCTAGCCCTTTTCTAAATGAGAAATGTGTAGGTGTGATGTGTTTCATGACTAAAAACATTAGAAAACTAAATTGTCAAAGGCTGAAGAGGAAATTATTTTGTTCTAAACTTGTTAGATCCTAAAGGAATACTATGAAAAAGTAGATAAGAGTTAATTGGAAAGAAGAACTAAAACAAAGCAAGACAATATCAGGTCCAGAAATGTAGATTTAAAATATAAATATATAAAAATGTTTTAAAGCATATTTATAGAAACTCCAGGGCAACCTGAATATCATTTTAGTAGCATTTATTTATCATTTCAATATAGTGATGCTGGGAAAATTTCTAAATATGAAAAACTTGATCAATAGTCAAATGCAAATAGGGCATTTATGCTATTGTAACTAGTTTTGAGGGACTTTTATTATTAAAATATTCAAAAATTCCTTTAAGTTTCAGAAAAAAGATATGTTATATTATATAAACAAAATGGATTATTCCAAAACATTACAATACTAATTAAAAAAAACAGTCAAGGGTCATACAAAATTGGTTTAAAAAAATACTAAAAGAGGGATTCAGATAAAGCCACAGGCCCTATTTTCTGGATATTGGAAAAACAGCTAAAACAGCCAATATTTTCAGATAATTTCTACAAGTCTTTAAGGGAATAACAAATGAAAACTTTTCTTAATTAGAGAGTGCATAGAAAAATGAATCACTGATGTTTAATTATTATTCGTGAAAGGCTGAGACTTGCAATAACTACATTTACAGAAACACTGATATGCTAACATAAAAATTTACAAAACAGATAAATTAGGGAACAATTATTTATATTACAATATTAATAACTATCTTAAAAAAAGGATTCCAATTGAGTGTATTTAAATAATGAGTTTGCCACATGCAGTTAAATGTGAAAAATTGTTAATTATTTTATTTTACTTAAATATCTATAACTAATGTAAATCATAAAGCTTAGCTTTAAGTCAGGTGAAATTAATACCTGCAATTAAATATAAAAATACTATAGGAAATATTCATTTTTCTTAACATATACATTTATTTCAAATGTAGTTTAAAACAATATTTTAAAAAACTAACATAGCCACATATAAATTTGAATGTATTTAATTATCAAGTAAGCCTTTTTCCCCCTACTGCCATTAAACAGTATGGTAGATCACTATTTGAGTACTGTATTTACAAGAGTCCCGTTGTATTCAGATTCCTAAGTTGATTGCTCATTTTTAACTTTAATGTCCACAGGTAGCATTTAAATTACTGATAAGTGTTTGCTTACTTGGGACTTTCATCTTTTAAACAATGCTAAGTAAATGACAGCATCAAAGTGCTGTGTTAAATTCATAACTCAAAGAGCAAAATTAGACATTGAGTAATTCACTTGCAACTCTTTTGTTTTGTTTTGTTTTAATTTATTGGGGAACAGCCATGGTCATTGGTTACACATTGCTGTCATGCTACAATGCCATAGTTGACTTTTTTTAGGGAGGGCACAGCTCACAGTGGCCCATGTGGGGATCGAACTGGCAACCTTGGTGTTATCAGCACCACACTCTAACCAACTGAACTAATCAGTCACCCCCACAATTCTTTCATATTGTTTTTCAGGATTGTACTGATACTTTTCTCTCTTTGTCTTAAAAAGTAACTGAGAAGTAAATCCCAGAGTTTACTTGAATACTATACTTCAGGCTAGAACTAGTTAGAATTTGTTTTCTTTAAGCCTGTTTAATTAGTTAATTCAATCAATCAGTTTAAACTATGAAAACTGAATTGCCTGAAAATAAGTTGATGGCTATTTGACATGGCATGCACATAAATATAAGATGCAACATTACAAATATAGCAAAATTTGACTGTTTCAAATTTTAAAATTTTAAATTAATTTTGGGGAAAGGTAATCCTTTTTATATGAAGGTTCTCAAGATATATGCATACATATTTTCATTCCAAATTTGAACTCAGGCATGTTATCATTTAAAGGTGTAAATCCTTTAAATATTAATATGTAGCATAAAAGCAGAAAAATCAGGAATATTTTATTTAAACCTTTATCAGCTTTGTTTTATTGAAATGCAAAATAAAACTTTTATTTTTCCTAAAGTAATGATCATATTATCAGTTGGATAATATGCATTTTTATCTGATAATGTAGATTTATATGACTTCTTTAAAATAGCAGTGATAGGATTTATAATTTCTTGAGTTCCATTTCAAAAGTTAATGACACTCTCATCTTACTGAAGCAATATGTGAATTTCATGAGATCCCCAAATAAAAGAAACATCAATCTCATGTGAAGTGTTGATACACATTCATAGCATTGAAATGAAATTCAAAATACAATTTAGTATTGATTTTTAACTTGATGTCTCAGCACAGCCTTATGGTATTATTGGACTAAAAGAAAATAAGCATAAAACTGTATACTCATGGCAGCATGTATTTTACAAACACTTGAATGAGAATATTTTGTAGTTGTTATTTTTTTATTTTTATTTTTTTAAAAGATTTTATTGGGGAATCTGGGGAAGGGGAACAGACAAGTTGCTGTCCTTTTGTTCTTCAGTCTAGTTGTGGAGGACGTTGCTTCATTGGCCCATGTTGGCATAATCATTGCTCTCGTCCTGGGTGAGTCAGATTGGTCGCCGGCCTCTGGATGGCCACTCACGCTGGCTGCCAGCCACTCACGGTAGCTTATGGCAGCCCACTGCAGCAGGGGCTGCAGACTACGCCATCGTCGGTGACTCACGGCAGCCCAGCTCCAGGTCGAGCTGTTGTTCACCATCTTAGCTATAGAAGGCAGTGTCACTGGCCCTCATGTGGGATCCGAACCAGGGCCCTGCTGCTCAGAGCTGGTGTCCCAAGCCAGCTCTTAACCAACGTGCCTCTCGGCCGGCCCATATTTTTATATTCTATTTATAATATCAGTAGTTTCCCTCTACTGAGCCAACACAAACATACAAAATGTTTAATGCAGTCATTCTTTTCTTGATAATTTCTATAAATAAATGGATAATTCCTAAAATAACAAATAATGATGTTAAGAATATATTTTGGACTTACATTATCTATATTTGTTTTATACAACACCCTCCAGTAAATTAGTAAATAATATAATGTGCTTTAAAATCTAAAAATCCTAAAAGTGCTAACCAGAAAGGATTGCGCTCAATCATTTTCTTCTAAAATTTACATTTGATGTAAAAGGTGTATTTGATTTGGGAATTAAAAAAAAAAGCTTCTGTTCATTCATTGTTTCTTTTAATATACTTACTAAATGATATGATACAACATACGATATGATATATAATATAATATACTGGACATAGGATGAAGGGGGAAATAAAACTTGGACTTTGAAAAATATAGTTTCTTTAGTAGTGGGTGGTTCTTCTACCTTTGGAGCAACCTCATTAGAAATCTGAGCAATAATGGCCTTTATATTTAACAGTAGATCTTACCAAATACGTGTTGTAGATATGCATGATCCAGTGGACTAGATTTCAGAACTTGGAAATTAATTGCTGTAAGTTCTAACATTACTTTTCTTTATGCAACTAGTTCAGTTTGTTCCATGTATTAAATAGAATTAACTATTAATATCAAGTAGGCTATAGATAGTGTAAATAATTTTGGTCATTTTGACTCTTTCTGGTTCTCTATCAGATGAAGTAAGAAAAATGATCTCACCAATTTTCTTGAATGGTGAGGATATATTGGGTTGTCAGAAAAGTCATGATGCATTTTTGCAACGAAAAACAGAAAAAATACATCATGACTTTTCTGACAACCCAATATATTTTTACAATGGTATTTAAATATCACACCTTCTTGGATAATAAGTGTATCTAAGAGGAATGAAATCCTATAGGGATCTGTCTTATTCTTAGTTATGAGCTTACACTGTATAGTACAATACAGCTGTTGACAGTTATGTTAGTTCTTTTTTTCTTTTTTAATAGCTTTTAGGACAAAAAGGCAAAGGAGAATAGAATTGTATACAATTTTAAAAATTCTGTTTTTGTCAAGGGATAAAGGAAAGGCTTTGTGGTAGGCTGAATAATGGTGCTTCAAAGATGTCCATGTCTTAATCCCCAGACCCTGTGAATAAGTTACTTTGCAAAGCAAAAAGGACCTTATGGATGTGATTAAATGAAACATCTTTAAGATCGAGAGATTATCCTAGTGGGCCCAATATAATCACGAGGTTTCTTATAGGAGGAAGGCAGGAGGGTCAGATTAAGAGATTAGAAGATGCCGCACTACTGGCTTTGAGGATGATGGATGGGGCCATGAGCCAAGGGATGCAGGTGGCCTCCATAAAGTAGAAAAGACAAGGAAATGGGTTCTCTTCTACAACCTCCAAAAGGAACACAGCCCTGCCAACACCTTGGTTTTAGAATTTCTGATCTCTAGAACTCTAAGAGAATATATTTGAATTGTTTAAGCCAGTAAGGGTGTGCTAGGAGCTAGTGCAAGCTACAATTTGTTTTGGTGAATTTTTTTCCCAAAATGAAGTATCATAATGACCACAAATGTTCAAAGAATGACCTGCCTAGAAAACAAAAGGGAAGCCCACAACAAAGCAAGTATTTAAAAAAAGAAAAATGTCTCTCTTGTTTATTTGCAGATATGGTCTCTGAAGTAGGGTTGCCTATGAGAATTCATGAAGAAGTACACTTCAAAACTCCACCTTCTAAAAGTAATGATGAAAATTCAAAAACATCATTAGATACGGAAGGACCTACTCAGGAGGAAATAGACAGATCTGTGGAAAATACCCTGCCACACAGTCAGGTGTTTTCAACTGATTACTCTATGTCTTCCCAAAATGACATTGCTAAAAAAGGTAAGAAACAAGTTATTTGTTTTTTAATGCAGAAATTAAGGAAGAAAGATTCAAAAGTTACATCATATCAAGTATTAACATATTTTTATTTATAAATCCACAGAAGATGCTTCCGAGTATCAGATTCTGAGATATTTATTTCAAATTGATGTTTATGATTTCATGAAGTGTGTATTTTCACCAATTGTAATTCTTACAGAAAGGGTAAGTTGACCTTTTAAATCTTTTGCAATAATTTTACCTATTTTGCTAAATACAGAAGCAGCTGAATCCTCCCTATGAAAACTTTACATGAACATTTTGTTGCATCATGTTGTTGTTAAGGATTTTTTTTTTTAACTTTTCCTTAAACTTTGGTGATCTTGAGCATTGTTTTTTTCTTCCCTTTTTTTTCAAGTCAGGGAAAATTATACTAAATGAGTTAACTCAGAAATAATATGAACTAAAAATGAATCTTGAGCACATTATGAGTAGTCAGCCCTCTGTATCTGCCAGGTTCTGCATCTGCAGATTCAACCAACCACAGATCGATATATTTGAAAAAAATGTTATGTAATTGTTGACATGTACTATGTAGCTTAGGTCTATAATGGTTTGGTCTGTACTGAATATGTACAGACTTTTTTTCTTATTATTATTCCCTAAACAAAATAGTATAACAACTAATTACATAGCATTTACATTGTATTAGGTATTATAAATAATCTAGAGATGATTTAAAGTAATGGGAGGATGTCTGTAGACTATATATGCAAATACTACACAATTTTATATAAGGGACTTGAACATCTGCAGATTTTGGTATCCACAAAGGTCCTGGGACCAATCCCCAGCGGATACCAAGGGATGATTGTATCTGAGTGACAGCTGTGATCTCAAAATTGTATAATGTGAGAATCTTACAAAAGCAACTAATATCTCAAAATTTAACCAAGCCATAACTAAAATTTCAAAATCTGTACACTTTTTCATTTATTGTAAATCCTATTAAATCTTATCTCATTTACTGTAAATGAGATATTGCAAAAGGACCTAGCTATAGTACTTGGCACATTGGAGGTTCTTTTACAAATGTTACTTCCTTTTTTCATCTGCTGCTACCATATAAATAGTTGAAGTAACACTTTTATCTTCTCATTTACATTTTAAGATGAAATTTAAGAGTGGTAACTTTCAAGGAGCTCACTCTAGTTGGAGGACACAGGTAAAAAAAAAAAGCAATAATTATAATACCGTGCTGTAATAGCCATAGAAAGCTACATAGAAAGCTTGGTAGACTGAGTGGAAGTGTTAGGTAGAGAGGGTAGGGAGGAGAAACCTGAGAAAGTGTCCTGGAGAAGATCATACTTGAGCCAATCTTGAAGGAAGAGTAGGACTTAGCCAGACAAAGAAAGGATGGGCATTCTTGGCTGAGGAGAGAACAATCTTAAAAGTATAGAAGTGGGAGAGATCATGGCATTTTGGAAGAACTAAAAGCAATTCTGTCTGATTGAACATATGGTGAGACTGAAGATGTATACAGGCAGTAAGTCAAGAATAGCTCTCATGTTTTGATAGGAAGTTGAACTCTATATTGTAGACGATGAGGCACCATTGAAGGATTTGAAGCAGGGAGTACAATGAAAAAGTTTTATTTACACAGTCTATTTGTCAGCATTGTCAAATTAAGAATCAAATGGGTTCAAACCAGAGGCAGGGAGCCCAGTCAAGAAATTATTGCATGAATTCAGGAAATAAATTATCAAGGTCTAAATCACGGTGTACAAACTCAAGCAAAATGAATGATGCATAGGTAAAGGTGAGAAGTGTAACCAATTGGAGAGTGTATGCCTTCTCCACAGGATATGGGTGCTGCTTACCATCAGCCTGGTTTTTCCAGATCTGATATTCCAAGAAAAGTTGGAAATCTGTTTTTTTGTGTGTGTGAAATCTCCTAATTTTTAGTACTGGCAAAAATTGATATTTTTAGAAAAACTTTCAGGCAAGTCAAACAAAATGTTCTGTGTTGGGTTTTGCACCATTGGCCACATTTTTTAACTTTTGACTTAGTATCTGATAGAGGTTATTAAAATGATTGGAAGGACAGACTACATAGATCTTTTGAAGATAGAATTCATTGGATTTAATGATTGATTGAATATAGCAAGGAAAATGTAGTGAGGATAACTTAACAGGTTTCTAGCGAGGGTGACCAGGTAGATGGTGGTGCCGTTGGCTGTGATAAAAGTCATTGTGAAAATCATTTTGCTTTCAGAGGCTTGCTCCATACTTTCTCTTTGCCAGGTTCCTGAGAGTTGATATTACCTGATATATAAGCCCAGGGAAGTGATTAATTTACTCTGTATGATTTGGTTGTGAAGATATTGATTTAAAACATTACTTAGAAATCTGTTCCAGCATAGAACTGATATATATCCCTCACCTGTCCATCACCTGCCCCCATAAATTATACCAGTGAAGTTACTAAATTAAAAAAATAATTTATTAATCAGTACACTATGTTCATCTCTCATATAAAGTGCTTATTTAATAAAGGTTGTGCTAAGTATGCTTATTTTTGAGTACTCAGTAAATATAGTCAAATACATCTTACTTAAACTATTTTGGTTGAAATTCTTTAGATGTAAAAATATTGAATTTAAATTTATGTTAATTATCTTTGTGGCCTTGGAAAGTCACTTATTCTCTAGGGGGAATTTCAGGTTTAAATCCTAATTTCAGAAGCTGAGACTAGATGACAGGCTGCTAATCAAACTGGCTTGCACATTGTTTAAAAATTATGAACCAGTTGCCAACATTTAAAAGATGCGTTCATATAAAAATCTGGATTTCTGGATTCTCTTGAAAAAGTAGAAGACTGTAATATATAGTCTCCCACTCTCATATGGCAACAAACTTAAATTGAATAGTGCTTGAATAGACAGACATACATTCTTCATTTGCCTACATTTATTTGGCCTCTATAGGGCTTTAAGTTCATAACGTTTGGACTAACTGTTCTGAAGAGTTCCTGCTAGATCTAGAATTCTAACAATCTTACTGCATCTATCAAGCACCCATATTATAGTTTTTGAATAGCTGCAGTACATTGGAGGAATTTTCCAGTTAAATTTAGGCAAAAGGATTGCCTTTTCTTTTCGCCTAAATATTTCAGGTAATTGTTTCCGTTTGCTGGTAATTTCAGTTAGATTTTGTACGCAAGATGCTTTCTTTGAATTGTGTAATGGGAATCCACACCACTTTTTTAAATCTATTTTATTTTATAATTGAGGAAGCTCTTTTAGTTCCAACAGTTATACATCCTTAACTAGAATGCTTTATTTATATGTGGAATAAATAGCGGAAATTATCTAGCTCTTTTCAACAGGTAGCTCCTGATTCAATATGTTCTGAGAATAACTCTTACATCACAGTTCAGATAAAGAAAATGTGGCTCAGCACGTTGGATTTTCTTCCAAAGGACTAGCTCTTGTGGACTTGACATTGCCTGTTTAATTAAATGGGAGTGACTAGAACTTAAAAGCTTTGCAACGGGGCCTCCATAAGGGAATCAGTTGCTACATTATGGACAAGGTTTACTGGTTAGCATGTTTTTAATGTTCTTGGATGCTTTCTAGTAGCTGTCACGAATACTAACAGCATTTATTTGTCTTCCATTTCTTTTAAAGCAGGCCTATATAAGACAGCAAAACCCCATGTCTACTTAAGGAAAACAATCTTTGAATATCTTTTACATTGTAACAATCATGTACTCTATATGAATAAACTATAGAATAAAACATTCAATTTAATTTTTAACACTTATATTCAGGGTTTCTCTTTGCAGTTGTCGATTTTAAGAGGGTAGTAATATGTATGATATTTAATCAGGGGTGATGTCCATGAAATTGAATTATGGGTTGGTAGTCACAACTCCACCTATAGCACCCCTTTACCACACAAATGTCAAAACAGGATCAGTCATGTGGAAACAGAAGAGAGCAGGATATATTAGAATCTGAAATCTTTCTCAAGGATATGAGGTACTTAGCAAAACTTTATTTACATGTTAGGATATTTTAACATGTATTTAAAAAAATGGAATGGAAAGACCTAGAGGAAGAGGTAAGTTTCTATATGACTATTAAGTGCACAGAAATTATGTTAGAATCTGGCACTGGGTTGAAGTTTTACTGTTTTTGCTATGGGTGAAGTGAAACTTTTAGGTTTTTATTTTTACAAAATTTTATTTATTCTTTTGTCCCTAATCCATGTTTTTAATATTTGGAGTGGCAATTATTGAAAAATTGGAGAAGGGCACAACCTGCCTTAGGGAGGGCAAAGAGATTTTTTTTTTAATGTTTTATGTTATATGTAAGTCTTGGAAGCTGAAAATGATTCTGGAGTTACCTAAAGAAGTTAACACATTAATTTTATAGAGTACTATAATGTTCTAATTGAGGCATATATTTGTTCTAAGATTCTTTGAAATTCTAAAGATAAAATTTTGGTTATGCTTCTGTTTTGACTAATAAGCTATTCATGTAATTTAAATACACATTGTGTAACACCGCTAAAGGTTGCCTAATGGCTTAAAAAGGGAGAGTTATTAAGCAATTTCACCTACTCTCTGATACTGATAGTTCCTGAAACTCTTTAGGCTGATGTGGCAAACAAGGGAACACTTTTGAGTTCCAAAAAAACTAGGCCATATTTTGGTCCTGAAAATCACTTGCTGTGAATTTGGGACATTTTTTATCCTTTTTGGCACAATAGTTCTGTTGCTGTCAGAGTTTACATTAGAGAAATTTCCTAAGGAGTTAAGATTTTGTTCAACTATTGAGTTGTCTTGGGATTTGCTTAGGAAGAAGTGTCCTGAGGACTTGAGTTAGAAGGCCGAATATGGTGCGAAGGTCATGCTGGCAATGAAGACTCAGAGATGGGTTATCCTTTACACCGACGTCAGCTAAAACCATTTCCCACGAACAAATCCAGCCCCCTGTACTTTCTTCAACAGACCTAAAAATAGGGTCCTAAATTTAGAGAGCAAGGTGCTACTTTTAGCTTCCCTTCTCAGGATAACAGCACTAGTCCAGCCAAGGTCCACAAGGGTTTGATTTAGCATTTGGGTGAGTAACTAGGAGCTCATGGAGTTCAGGCCAATTTTGTCTAGCAAGCGCCCAGGTAACTCGGGTAAAAGTGAGTAACCACCTCGACCCCTCCGC